GAGAAGTAGAAAGCCAAAAACTTTTTTTCCCAAACCTTTTAATTTGTTATGCTGATTAAAGCTAATATTTAAGTTAGGACCTCAAAAAATGTAATAGTACATTTGCTTTTAGATAGTACCTGAATTTACTGAAGAAATTGGGTTGGAGGAGAACCAGATATCACCTCCTACATCAGTGACACCCTCAGGGAGCATGTCTAGTAAAAAAGTGAGTTTTGAATTGTGTGTGGTACAGTTGTAATTTTTATTATATAACTCTTGTCTGTTCCCAGCAAACGCATATTAAGAAAAAAATCGATTGGAGTAGTTATGCACCTAATAATTTAAAAAGAAAAGCCAACGGAAAACTACACCCAACCAAAATAAACCCGTTATATAATGCAAAAGAAGATTATTATAAAAAGAAAAAGGAGCTTCTTGAAAAAACGGTAGAAGCAGAGGAGAAGGAGAGATCAAGGAGAAGGGAGAGAGAAGAAGAAGAACATTTAAAAAAAATGACTTTATTGGATTTAGAAATCAAATTAAAAGAAAAACAATTAAATAAATTAAATGTTTCATAAAACTGATTTTTAATTATTATTAGTATTTACAATCTAGCAAAATGTTCATTAATTATCAAATTCCTTATATTTTCTGCTATATTTGGATTATTTTCCATGGGGGGTAATACATCCTCATCGTCTTCCTCTATTTCATCTTCTTCAGTAAAGTTATCATTCATATCAATGGCAATGTTATGAAGAACTGCAGTTGCGACTATTACTGCCATTGTGGTTTCTAGTTTTAGTCTCATGCCAAACCTCAAAACGGGAAATCGTCTTTTCCATAAACCGTATTGACGCTCTACTACATTTCGAGTCCTTATTATAGACTCATTGTATAAATTTTCAGCAGGTGTTCTAGTTTGTTGTAACTTAGTCATAAGATATGGCTTTAGAGAATATCCACTGTCACCAATTAGCATATACTGACCAAATACACCATTTTCAAATTTTTGCTTTAAACTGCTATTATTAAAAATTGTTTGGTCATGCACCGATCCTGGCCATCTCACAACAATATCTCTTATTTTCAATTTAGCATCGCTTACTGTCTGAACATTTAATGCAAAATAAGATTTTCTACATCTGAATATTTCTGCATCATTTCCACCGGGAGAATCAATTTTAACTAATGTGCAATCAATTGCTCCAATGGTCTTGGGAAATGAAGCTATTTCATAAAATTTTTCAACTGCTTCTTCCAATTCCCTTTTATTTTCATACATGCGAATGTGTTGTCGGGCTAGTGAGGCAATAGCAATAGACACCTTTTTGATAATCCTGCTAGCTGAACTTCTAGACACTCCCATAAAATCTGATACGATTATTTGCATATTTCCTGATGCGTAGAATCTTAAAGTCAACAATAATTGTTGTAATGGTGTAATGCACCCACCTCTAAAAAATAAATAAATTTTTTTATAATTCTGTTAATAATACAAATTTTACAACTTACTTATTAGTAGGTAACTGAATTTGTTCTTTTATTTCATCTAGTAGATACAAAACAGTTTGTTTTTTTAAGCGAAAACGTTGGTAAAAGTCAAGCTCATCATATTTTTCGAAGCAGTCTGTTCTTTTCCTATACACTTTTGGTCTTCTAGTTCAAATAAATTCTTCATCAGATGAACTTGAGCTAGACATTTCAAAATTATTCATATTATTGTGATCAACGGCTAAAGAACACAAAACTAGCAAACGTAGCGAGTAGCACAACAAATCACAATTATAAAAATTGAGGTTATGTTTTAGTTAAATGACACTTTATCGAGTTAAAGTAGAGAAATCGACACTTTAACCTTGAAGGGCGTTTTTGGTTTAAAGAATACTTTAACTTGGTTATGAAATCAAAAATGTTTATTGAAGTATTCTTTAAAGTTGAAGTAACCTTTATGTTTCTTTATGAAATCGGCCGTAGTAATAATAATAAATATATTTATTTCTGAAGAATAATCGCAAAAGGATACAAAAACAGAAATAACGTCACCAGTAAGATATATTATGTCAGACAGTATGGCTGAGGTATTCAGCAATAGTATAGCGTTCTATATTCAGTAGAATCTTCTGAATTCCCTTTTTGAATTCACTAAGTTTATTCATTTGTCTGATGCTGGTGGGGAGTTTGTTGAACATTTTCATGCTTTGATAAAACGGGCTCCTTTCTGTAACAGTTACTCTATGTTTTGGGTATACATAGTCAAAATTTCTAGTGTTATATAAATTTTGTTGTAAACAATTTTC